GTGCCAGCCTAGGTTTAATTGGAGAGAGCAGGATTTAGGGGGACAAAATGTAATTGTGCGACCTGCAGCGATTCATTTCCAGCTGTTGCAGGTGCTCTGTGCTGCAGGGGAGTGTTTCCCACCTAGCAGAGCAGGGCTGGGGAGGGATCACCTGCAGCCTCCCTCAGTTTCCTCCTCTCAGGACTTGCAAGCTGGCCCAGTGCCTCTGTGTCAGGGTGGGCGTTGTTCAGGGTGCTGTGGCCTTTGTGAAGAAGTGTCCTGAAGAAGACACCTGGGGGGCACTGGCACATCTGTGCTCACACCGGTTGATTTCAGCTCCTGAATCTGGATGGGGCAGGAGGAGAGATGGAGGATTTTTGTAGGGTTCCAAGGAGAGCCTTCACTGAGCTCCTTCCCCAGAGGGGTGCAGGAGAGAGCCACTCAGCAGGGCAAGCAGGGATTTACTTATATGGGGATCTCGAGGGGCGGGGCAGAACACCAGGGCCAATGGGATGAGGGCACAGGGGTGGAGCGAGGGGGAAGGGCCAATGGGATGCATGGAATCTGCATGGCACAGCAAGGCATGCTGGGAGAAGCCTTTTCCTCACCCTAAGGTGGGAGTTATCCCTTGGGGGGTGTTCCCTGGACTCTTTCTCTGCACTGGCCTCCACACATCTGTCCTGCAGATGTGTCAGGGTCTCTGCCCTGGGGCCACCTGCAGATGTGCACATGGCTAGAGACCTGCACCATGGGCAGGGAGAACTTTCTGAGACATTCGGATAGAATGAAGAATGTTGGCTAAATTAAACAACAAATGATGGGCTGGGCTTTGGCTGGGTAGTAATCACTGACACTGGAATGTGTTGTGGTGGTCTGGCCCTTGTAATTTATTTAAATGTAGAAGTTTTCAAGCGTAGGGTGTGTTCTCCTGAATATTCAGCTCCCTGGAACAAGACTTGCCTTGGGCTGGCCAGATAGAGCACAAGCTGGGTGTTAGAAATAAAACCTGAGATTCATACAATCCCAAGTGCTTTGGGTTGCGGGACCTTAAAGCCCATTTTGTCCCAGATAGGGACACCTCCCACTGTCCCAGGCTGCTCCCAGCCCTGTCCAGCCTGGCCTTGGGCACTGCCAGGGATCCAGGGGCAGCCACAGCTGCTTTGGGCCCTCCCAGGAACAATTCTTTCCCAATATTACTGTCTTTGAACTTAAAACCATTTCCCCATATCCTATCACTGCTTGTCCTTGCAAAAATTCCCTCTCCAGCCTTCTTGTAGGCCCTCTTTAGGCACTGGAAGAGGCTCTAAGGTCTCGCTGGATTGTGAAGTATTTTGGCCTGGGTTCTGAATTCCAAGTGCCTTGGCTGGCACACAGCCAAAGGCTGAGGGGGATACCTGTGGGCAGAGGGTGTCAGGAGTCTCAGCTGAGGCTTGGTGCATTGCCTGGGACTCTCCCTGAGCCCCTGGAACTCCTGCTGGGACCTGGGGTCAGTGCTGGATTCTCTGTGCTCTTCCTCAGGGCTGTCATTGAAGTTCTGAAGGCAGCAGGGATTTCCCATCTTGTGCCTCCCCACCCCTGCAGGAAATACAGCCTCTTGGGTGGGCAAGGTGTTGTTCCTGAGGATGCAGGTGAGGACGTGTGGGGGCTGCAGCGATGGGCAGCCTCAGCTGTCCCAGGACTGCTGACCTGCAGTGAGTCCTCCCTGCAGGGCCTGCGTGCTCCCAGTGAAGCAGTCACACCTGCGCCTCTGCCTGCACAAGGGCTGAAGGATAAATAATCCAAATCAGCCCTTTTTCTATCGCAAACATTTAAAAGAAAAAGCCCAAACCACCGAACCACCCAAAGCCCAGCACTTCCCACCCCATGCCCTCACCATTCCCGCTGTTTCCTGCAGCTTCTCCCTGGCCTTTCCAGTGATGTTTGAGCTCAAGTGTTGCTCTGCCCTTTCCCCTCTCTGTCCCAGGACAGCCCAGCAGCTCCAGGTGTTTTCCTGCACACTTGCAGGGATATTTACTGGTTTGTCCACTGGAAGAAGCCTTGTGAAGCTGCAGGCTGTGGCAGAGCATCACTCACCCCACAGCTTTTGGCACCAGCACTGAAGGGATCCCGTGGGAGGCACACAACAAACTTGATGTTAATTTGGTTTTAAGTTGCTACCTTCCCAGCTCTGTGGTGGAAGCCAAAGCCACCGGAGCAGGGTGTTGGTGCAAAGCCTCTCCTGCTTCTGGAGAACTGGAGCTTTGTGCCCCAGCAGTGTGGGCTGGCCTTTCCCACTCCCCCCTCCCGGCCCATCTCCTCTCCCTGGATCTCTCTCTGGCACTGGGGAGGGGGAACCCTGGTAGGAGTGGTGCAGGGAGAATGCCAATGAACAGGAGATGAACCTCAAAGAGCTGGGTTTGGATTTGCCTCCAAAGCTCTTTGATCACAGGCTGAGCTCTTTATCCCCTGCAGCATTCCTTGGGGGAAGGCTGCCCAGAGGTGAGCAATGATTAAAAGGAAACGCTCCTGCTCCTGTGACAACCTTGACTTCACCAGAGCAAGTATCAACATCTACCAAAAGCTGTTTTTAATGTCTGAGTCAAGTTAGTTTGACTTTCTTGGCAGGATTTCAGGGTCACTTGTCACTTTGCCCCATCATGACCGTTCTTTCATTCATTTTAAAGAAAGATTTTCCCTTTGGAATATCCTTTTCAGTGTTTGGTTCCCTTCTGTTGAGCTCTTGGCTTGCTGTAGGGCAGGCAATAATTAAATCAAGAAACACAACTGTGTTTTCACCAAGCAAACTCGTTTAACTACAGAAGATTCATAAAGAAAACTGTTTCTGTAGAAATCTTTGTCTTCTAAGTCTCATTGTGGAGTCTGAAGAATGCCTGCTGTTGCCTAAGAAACACCCAGGACAATTAAATGCAGAGGCATTGCTGGGGAGTTGAGGAGCTGCTGGGATGTCACTCTGCCTTTGGTCTTTCTCTGCTTATCTGGGCAGAGTTTGCTCCATGCACACTCATTGTAATTCTGGGAACTCTGCTCATGTTCTGTGCCTAATCTGTGATGGATGTGGGGAGGGGGCAGAGAGGCTCCTTCTGTCCTTGCCCCACCTGGATTTTTTGTAGGGGAAGCTGGAGAGTTGCTGGGCTCAGAACTGGCTGCATGGCCAGCCCAGAGAGTGGTGGTGAGCGGTGCTGCATCCAGCTGGGGACAGGCACCAGTGGTGTCCCCAAGGGCTCTGTGCTGGGCCAGCTCTGTTCAATGTTTTTATTGACCACATGGATGAGGGGATTGAGCCTTTCATTAGTAAATCTGCAGATGACACCAAGCTGGGAGCATGTGTCCATCTGTTGGAAGGTAGGAGGGCTCTGCAGGGAGACCTGGAATGGTTGGAGGGATGGGCAGAGTCTAACAAGATGAAATTTAATAAGTCCAAGTGTCCAATCCTGCATTTTGGCCACAATCACCCCCTGCAACACTAGGCTGGGGACAGTGTGGCTGGACAGTGCCAGGCAGAAAGGGACCTGGGGGCACTGGCCAACAGCCAGCTGAACATGAGCCAGCAGTGTGCCCTGGTGGCCAAAAGGCCAATGGCATCTTGGCCTGGATCAGGAATGGTGTGGCCAGCAGGAGCAGGGAGCTCATTCTGCCCCTGACCTGGGCACTGCTGAGGTCCCACCTCGAGTGCTGGGTCCAGCTCTGGCCCCTCAATTTGGGAAGGACGTTGAGAGGCTCAAGTGCATCCAGAGGAGTCAACGGGACTGGAGAGGGGCTGGGAACACAAACCCTGTGAGGAACGGCTGAGGGAGCTGGGGGTGCTCAGCCTGGAGAAAAGGAGACCCAGGGGTGACCTTATCACTCTCTACAACTCCTGAAAGGTGGCTGTGCTCAGGTGGGGTTGGGCTCTTTCTCCAGGAACTGACAGAACCAGAGCACACAGCCTCAAACTGCACCAAAGGAAACTCAGGTTGGATATTAGGAAGAAGTTTTTTACAGGAAGGTGATAAAGTTCTGGAATGGCTGCCCGGGGAGGTGGTGGAGTCCCCATCCCTGGGTGTGTTTAACAAAGCCTGGATGTGGCACTGGGTGCCAGGAGTGAGTTGAGGTGCTAGGGCATGAGTTGGACTCAATGATCTTGAAGGTCTCTTCCAACCCAGTGATTCTGTGATTCTGTGAATTAAATTGTTGGAAGTGGTTTAAGATCTCCTGATTGCTTTCCACAGTTGCTCTGTTAAGAGGAGGTGTCTAGCTGAGATGAAACATGGCAGGGAAACAACATCTGTGTCCCTGTGCTTCCTGAAGAGCTGGGGGTCACCTGGAACACCTCTTCCCTCAGAGCTGCCCCAGCCCTGCTCCATGGGTGTCCCTCTCTCCAGCTCTGGTGTGTCCATGGAACATGGACCTGCTGCTTGCCAGGGTTTGTGCTTGTTGAAACCTGGGAGCTCCTGCTTTTGTCCTGCTCTGAAGTCTGTGTGAGCAGAGACCCAGCCCCAAACCCTGCCTGAGTTAAGGAATGATTCTTGAAACCAGGGAGGTGATCACAAGGGTTTGGGTTTGACCATCATGTCTATGGAGTGCAACACTGCTTCAGAGACAGGAGTGTGCTCAGGAGTATCTGCTGAGAGAGCAAAAACATTTATTCAGACTATTTAACCAAGGCTCATTTTATGTTCATTTCTTTACAAAGCAAATGGGAAGAAAATTCCCAAGTGCTGTTTAAGAACAAGGCTGGGGCAGAGTGGAGCTGAGGAGTTTCCCTTGAACTGCTGGAGGTGCTTGCTGTGTTCTGGAGGCCACTCTTGCTTATCTGCCCCCACACACAGGTGGGGTGAGCTCTGGATGTGCTCTCTGAGCCCGGGGATGCTCTGCTTTGCTGTGTTCTCTTCCCAGCAGCAGTGATTCAAGGCTGGGTTTGCAGGCAGTGGGGATCCCCAGCTGCACACAGCTGGGAGGTGGCAGCCCTGGGCTTTGCCACGTGCCTGGCTGGAAGTGCTGCCCCGTGAGCTCTGCTGACCCTTCTGCCCTTGGTGTTGCAGGTGCAAAGAGCTGAAATACGGAAAGGACCTGCCCCAGATCTCCATCATCTTCATCTTTGTGAACGAGGCGCTGTCGGTGATCCTGCGCTCGGTGCACAGCGCCGTCAACCACACCCCCGCCCCCCTGCTCAAGGAGATCATCCTGGTGGACGACAACAGCGACGAGGGTGAGCAGCACTGGCAGCTCCAGCCCCACCTGGAGGAGCTGGGTTTCTGGGGATCTCCTGGAGGGCGCTTGGGTGATGCTGCAGGCGGAGGGAAGACAAGCACAATCATTGATTGATAAGCAAGCTTAGTTTATTCAAAAATCCTGTCAGTTTATATAGGGTTTGCTACCAGCAAAGTCAGCAGCAGCTCTCGTTGGTCAAGTTTACAAAGGTCTTTGTTTTACTTCTCCTACGTGGGGTTACAGGTGTAGCTAAGTTCTCCAAGCCAAGTTCTCATTGCTAAGTCATACCTTCCAAGGACAGAGCATATCTTCGAGGCTGTGCCTGTCCTTCTTATCTCATTCCGACCTTGTTCTATTTCCCAGGCCTAGACAGACCTTGTACAGTTTCCCAGGCCTAGACACAGAGCCGGTTTCCCAAGCTCTGTTCCCAGGCCAGACACAGCCTGATTCTGATTCTGGGGTCTTAGACAGAGGTATCAATGAATAACTGTTCCATTGATCCACGACCCCTCTCCTGCAACCATTCTCCAACACTTGGGGAAGGGCACAGAAGGCAAGGGGGTGGGTGTGCTGCTGGCACAAAGTTCTCTGCCACTTCTCTGGTGAGGAACAGGGTCAAACTGCAGTTAAATCCGAGAGAGTTGTTGTTTGAAAATGTAGCTGAGAGCTGGAAGGTGAAGGAAACCAAAGAGCCACCTGACCTTTCCTTTCAGTACCATCCAGGAGCTCTGGTTTCAGGGTATCCTTGTTTCTGATAATACCTTTGGTTGTTGCAGATATGCACCTCTAAATATCTGCCAGGACAAGAGCCTGGAGCCCAGAGGGATTTCTGCTTGGGCACCTCCCATGGTGTTAACTGAGATGTTTCCTCTGTGTGTGCCTCGGTTTCCCTGTTGTAAAATACCATCCCAGGCTTTATAGGTGGCTGGTGCTCGGCAGAGACCCTTGTTCCCTGAGTTCTGGTTTTGGAACAGGAAAGAGGAAGAGGAGGAAATAATTCCAACTCACCTGTCCAGGTCAGGCCCTGCCGCAGCCTGGAGGGGATGTTTGGTTTCCCACATTACACACGAGTGTCCTTTGGTTCAACCTGCTCTCAGTCACTGCTGTCATTCCTTCCCTTCTGGCTTTTGATAACACAGAACTGCAGGAAGCATTTTCAGACTCTACAGACCTCTCAAATTCTTCCAAGGTCTTTTTTCTCCCAATATCCACTTGGACAATGTAATCAGGGCAGTTAAAATCCTTGTGAAGGACAGCAAAAAAAAAAAAAAAAAAAAAAAAAAAAAAAGGACAGTTAAGTGACTTTGTTTACTGCCTTCTTCAGTTGTGCTGTGTTTTCATCCTTTTAATGCTATTTAAAAAAAAAATAATCCAGGAGTGCCATGGATGCTGTGATTAGAGGGAAGAGCAGGGCAGGGTGCAGGGTGTGGAGAGCTCATTTCCAGAGGGAGCTGAGGGGCTGCTCTGTCTGTGAGGAGAGGAGCTGGTGCACAGTGAGCTGTTCAGGCTGTAAAAATAGGCACTCAAACACCACAGTAATGAGCACCACAGAAAGTTGATGAGTTCTAATTACCAGTAAGAGAATCAGGAGGGCAGCTCCTCAGCTGGTGGGAATCACAGCAGCTCCAGGGCAGGAGCTTGGATGGTGTCTACAGTGAAGCTGTGGGATTTCAGAGCAGGTGAAGGGGAACTGCAGGTGAGGTGCTGCTGGGGTATCCCACAGTATTCCCAGGAGGGCTTGAAATACCACAATGAGAGGCTCCTTCTCCAAATTTTATCCTATTAATGGGGCAAAGAGAAGAACTCTTTCAAAGAGAAGCCAATGGTGATAATCACTGAACTTCTCCCCTCATTGCTTGTGCACAAGGGATGTGTTTCTGAACAGCCTCTTCCTCACTGTGAGGCTGATGGTGAGCCAGGTGCTCTGCAGACACTGGAAGGGCACAGGACAGCAAAACAAATCCTTGCTAAAGTGTCTGCAAGGCCAGGGCTGCAGCTGGCAGTGAGGATCAGGGTGGGATCCCTGCACCCACTGTGGGATCACGGGGCACCACTGGGGTGGGCAGGGTTGGGGCTGGGGGATGGCAGGGCAGGCAGAGGGGTGCCCAAAGCTTGGACTGTGTTCAAGCACTTCCAGCTCTGGGGTTTCACAGAATCCCAGAAAGTTTGGGTTGAAAGCACCTTAAAACCCAACCAGTGCCACCCCTGCCATGGACAGGGACACCTCCCACTGTCCCAGCTCTGCCCAGCCTGGCCCTGGCCCCTGCCAGGGTTGTGTTGGGGTGTTGTACAGCACCAGGGAGGGAGAGGCAGGGAGATGACCCTAGCTGATGGACAAGTTCAAACATCCTGGGCACAAGGTGGGAAAATTCCTGTCTCCTGGCACAGCTAGGCTGCGTCCCACCCCAAGGGTGTTTTGGTTGGAATCAGGAGTGTGCAGGGTTCCTCATGGTGACCCAGGGCTGTGCTGAGGGTTGGACATCCCTGAGTTCTGTCCTCAGAAACATTGGGTGCACAAGGAGAGTGGGGTGGGGACTGAGGTGGTGCCATCAGCTGGGAGGGTGAGTTAATAATACCAATGTTCTGCTGCTGAGGTTTGCAGGCCTCCTGACAAACGAGATTTTTAAGGAGGGATTTGAAGGAAGATAATGAGGTAACTTGGCAGATGTTTATGAAGAACTCCTCCCAAGCGTGTAATAATCTACTTTTCTCATGTAAAAGCAATGATACAAACCAGAACGTATCTCTGGGACCATGTGCTCCCTCTCAGCATCCTCGAGGAGCTGCAGTGACAGGCAGGAATTATTAATGGCAATAACATTGCCACAGAGTTCCCACTAATGGTCGGCAATCATTTTGAGCAGCAACAGCAGCAGTGCAGAGTTGATGCTTTGGATATTACAAACAAAGTCATCATAATAAATAGATTTGGCTTCTACAGGAAAATAATTACAGGAAAATAGTTCCTCATGAGCTCTCAGATTTAGAGATGAATCCTGGAGGATCAAGCAGAGGATGGGGCTGTGTGGGTGTGACTTTGGAGGCTGTGATTGAACAAGAAGGATTTTTTTCAGTCTCTGTGGGAGCAGCTGTGTGGGAGTGAGGGACAATTTCTGTGGATGTGGCTGTAGCCCAGGAAAAGCCTTTGGAGGCTCACCTGTATAACCTGAGAGAAGGTTGACTCCAGGGAGCAGTGCCCAAGCCCAGAGCTGTGCTGTCCCCTGGGTCACCAGAAGCAGCTTAGGGGAAGTTGCTGAAGGCTCAGGACAGTCCCTGACTGGGGTTTGTGTGGGGCTTGTCAGGGGGGAAGAGGAACCACAGCAGATCTGGGAAACTGAAGAATAAAGCACCAAATACTAACAGAGATTTCCAAATCAAATTTTAAGATTAGCCCCAGGGGTAGAGTCAAGAGCTACCTGCCCTCCCCACCTGGCTCTGTGCCCTCCAGGTAGAGCTGTGACACAGCCAGGGGCAAAGCCTGATGCTGGTGTGAGGTTTTTAGGTTGGAACAAAGAGCTGAAGCCTCATTAGACACTCCCTGCTCTCAGCTTTGTTGTACAACAGCACGGCACAACACAAAAGTGTGCAGTGAGAGATTAAAGTTAATGAACGCTGGCATTCTGAAGCTTTATGTCTGAGCTGTAAATAGATAAAAGATGCAAATGTATTGTAACGGGGGGGGGGGGGGGGGGGAAATCCCTCCTGGAAGGAGCAAGCTTGGGGAGTTGTAGTTTGAGCCCCCTTCCCCTTGAGCTGCACATTACACTTCATAAAGACTCTTTTGGAGGTTGCTTTTGTTTGTGCTTGTTGCAGGGCTGTAATTCCAAAGGCAGTGTGCAGGTTGTGTTTGGGAGTGATAAGGAGGTTCCCGGGCTGTGGGGGGTGCAGCCATGTGCCCCGAGATGCTGTGTTATCTCACAGCTGCACACGTTGTCTGACTCTGTTGCTTCATCATCACCTGCTTTTTTTTTTTTTTTTTTTTGTTTTTTTTTTTTTTTTTATTTTTTTTTTTTTTGGTTAACATCTCTCTGAAAAGCAAACCTTTCAGATAAAAGGCTGCTTAAAGGACCAGGGGAGAGACAGCTCAGGGCTGTAATTTGCCTCGCTGGTGGCACCGAGGGATCCCCTCCTTGTTTTGCTGATTCCAGCGGCAGCAGCAGCTGGATCCAGCTGTGCCTGGTTCCCCCGGGAGCTGCGGGGTGTTTGTGCTCAGAGGGCAGCTGCAGGGAGCTCAGTCTCATCCTGAAATGAGCAGGGTCTATGCCTTCATTAATGTGCAGCTCTTTATTAAAAAGATCAGCTGGGCAGGGGGCTCGACACGGAGCTCGCCCCCGCTGTTGTAGCTTTTTCCTGGTAGCCGAAGGGTGAGAAAGCGTGCAGAATCTGTCCTTGGAGCCTCTGTGGCACACTGGTAGCCAGAGATGAAGAGGTGTGCAGTCTGTATCTGAAGTCCCAGCAGACCATCCTCTCTCCTTTCCTCGTGGCACACCGGTAGCCAAAGGGTGAAGGGATGTGCAGAGCCTGTTGCTGAAGTCCAGCAGCAGCTGTCCTCTCTCCTTTCCTCCTCAAAACACCAGAAATAGTTATTCCTTTGTTCCTGCTTCCCACAGCTCAGTCCAGTCTGGTCCTCTGAGGGTTATGGTGACAGGTCAAACACAGACTAGGGATGTGGTTCCCTTTTCCCCAACCAGTGCACCCATCCAGCCCCCTCCACTGTGCCCAGCCTTCCATTTATGGGTGTTTTCATCCCCAAACCCCCTCCCATGATTCCACTGGATTATTTTGCATCTTGGTCCTAGTTTGGGTGGGGGTGTAGGTGATTCCCAGGAACAATTAGCTAATTAACATTTCAATGTCAGTACTTAGTTCGAGCCAAGTGTCCCAGCCAGGCTGTTTTGTTCATAACAATCCCAGCCTGTCCCAGGCCTGCAGAGTGCAGCCTGAGCATGGGGAGTTCCACTGGAGCTGCCTGGGCTGTCCCACTGCTGCTCAACTCCGAGGCTCTGGGGAAGAGCAGCAGAGCAGCACGGGGTGGCTTTGTTGGGGTGTCTGGGATCCATCATCCTTGTGGGTCCCTTCCAGCTCAGGGTATTCTTGATTCTCTTTGGGTTTTGCTGAACCAAATGAGCAGAGGCTTGAGCTGCATGCCCTGACTGGCACCAGCTTTCTCTGTGAGAACTGATTCATCCCCCTGCTCCCCATGTCACATTTTCCTCTTGTCCAGCTGCAGGTAAAAACTTCAGACTCCCCTGGCTCTGAGTCTCCCTGAAAAGTGTTCATATTTATTTACTGCCTGCTGAAGGAGCTGCTTTAATGATTTCCTACAGAAATCCCAGCCCTGATGGCTTTGGAGTTTCAGGCAGGTGAGAATGTGGGACAGGGGTGCCTGGGCTCTCCCATGGCACTGGAGCACTCCCAGCCCTGACCCCTCCAGTGTTTCTGATAACACCTTGGCCTCTGGAGGCTTTTCCCACCCAGCTGAGCCTGGCAAACACAAGGATGTTTTCCTTAGGGGTGTGGAGGTGTGGTCCTCTCCCAAGGACACCTGGCCAGTGCTGCACAAGGAATTCCCTGCTCTTGGTAATTCCTTGAGCTTCCCTGGTGCTGCTGGTCTTTGCTCCCTTCTCTCTGTGGCTACAGACAGGATATGGAGAGGTTTGGGCAGGATTTGGGGTGGGGATGTGTCTTGGTTTGGAAAGACAGGTGTCTGCTTAAGGAAGGCAGAGGTCTCCCCTGAAA